CCTGGCGCTGGGCAAATAGAGGGCAGGACCAGGGCCAGGCCGACCGTGTGCAAAGGGCAGAGGGTGAGCCAGCTGGGTCTGATGCAGCAGAGCCCATGACCCTGTGTCTTTCCAGTCCCTCTTCTTTTCATTCTTTCCTGTCCCCCTCTCCTATTTTCTGTCCTTTTACCTTTTAGTGATGTGCGATACATAAGGGAAAATGCCCACCCCCCTGAATGTGACAACCAGTGAATTTTCACAACTGGAAACCAGCACCAGATGGAGAAGTGCTCTCCTTCCCACCTCTCCCCTCCCACGTTCCCAGGTTGGAACAGAAGCCTGAGGTGATTTCGCTGGGCATGTCGGTGCTGGTTTCTTTTGCTGGTACCCACTCTGTGGTGTGTGGTCTCAGAGCACCCCTTCGTTCCCCATGCTTCTGTAGGTGGATCTGTGCCTGATTCCCAGTTCCTGATGCCCACCTACACCTGTGCTCCAACATGCTCTCCAACATCCTTTGGTTAGATCTAGGGAAGTTCTTTTCTTGGGAATACACTTAAGAGTGGGATTGTTGCATCATAGAGTATGAAAAAAAATGGGCATGACAAACACTGCAGTATGGTCTTCTAAAGCATTTGGGCCAATCTGCAGCCCCACCCTGATTTCTGCTTAAAAAAATCACTGCTGTGTCTTTCAAATCCCAAATCAAGTCCACTTATTTTTTCCCTTTTTGTTAATCCTGTTTATGCTCTGCCTTGCCTTACATATAAATATATTCTTGCTTCACAGTATTATGAGGCATGAATGAATTGCACAGTAAGAAAAATATCAGAATACTTACATGCCAGAGAAATGAACACTATTGGGAAAGTGTCAGAAACTCAAAGAGGCAATAGCTAATGCGTACCAGTTAGGGGAGCATTTCCTCAAAGGGGATTATGGGACTCTGACCACTGGCCATTTGTGTGCCAGTACTGGGGCTTGAATGCAGGACCTTGCAATCTTCTCTTGGCTTTTTCACTAAGGGTGGTTTCTCTACTACTTGAGCCACACCTCCACTTCTAGCTTTCTACTGCTGAATTGGAGGTAAGACTCTCCTGAGCTTTTCTGCCCAGGCTGTCTTCCAACAGTGATCCTCAAATCGCAGCCTCTTGAGTAGCTAGGATTATAGCTAGCACCAGGCTTCCTTCCCTCCCCCGCCCCGCCCCCTTGCCAGCCACAAGGTCACTACCCTTTTTCGCCAAGGAGTTTCCACCCTGCTGTGCTGTGCTGTGCTGTGCTGTGCTAACACAGGCCTAAAGCAGCAGGCCCCAAATTGGTCATGAGCTCAAAGCTCCAAAACAGTGAGCCAGAATAACCCTTTGTTCTGAAGTTGATTTGTCTGACGTTCTATGTCACAGTAATGGAAAGCTGAATGAAGGGTAGATGGACTGGTACAGAGGGAGAGCTCCTACCACGGTTAGAGTGGGAAGGGAAAGGCTTCCTAGAGGGAAAAGCCCTCTGGCTGAAAGTCTCTACTTGGTCAGGTATCCGATAGGTAGAGGGTGAGACTCCAGCCCACAGGCTCCAAGTGCAAATGAGTTCTCATAAACAAACAACACACAAACAAAGCATCATCCAGTCCTAATTGCAGCCCTCTGGGTCCTGGGTAGCTTAATCAAGGTGCCGTTTAATCGTTGCTCTCCTTGATTTCAGGCTTACATCACCAAAACCTTCAGATGCACCGTCACTCACAGCTGAACATTCTGAGCCAATGACTGCATGCTCTAGGGAGGGACCAAGGTCACGGATGGAGGCTGGGACTGACACTGCTTGATGTACCCACTCACTGCTTCCTTGCTCCGCTGGGCAGAGTGGGAGGAGCGGGGGTGTGTATGACATTTTTAATAGCAGTGTAGTGGAAGCAAATACAATTTTAGGCATGAAAAGCCTGTGAGGGTTTTTAATAAAAAAAATACTTGATAGGAATTTGACAATATTTTCTTGGCTCTGCGAGCTAAACAGTGTGTCAGCTGACCTCCCTGTCTTTAGCCTGGCAGAATTAACTTTCACTTTATGGTTTCCAAATGTCCACTCCTTTGTGGAAAATAGGCAGCCCCCCTATATCACAGCTCCTGGAAATTATTTCCCATTTGGGTGGCCCTCCAAAATAATATAGGGTTGATATTATAAATCTTTTTGCAAAAAAAAGGAAGGAACGAGAATGAAAGAAAGAGAAAGAAAGAAAGAAAGAAAGAAAGAGGCAGAAAGAAAACAAAAAGGACTATTTTAGGGCCATCAATTCTTTTGGCACATATTTCTAGTTTTAAATTCATATTCTTTTTTTAGATTAAGATCAAAGCCATCAAGGTGTGAGTGTCTCGTACCTCTGGAGATCACCAGGTGGGTACAGACAGAGAGGGGTAAGCCCCTGGATGGGTGACACTTACTTGAGGTCACAGTTGGGCAGTAAGGAAGATTGGGGTTGGTTGCTAGATCTGTCTATTCTGTGTGAACTACCATGCGCTGGGTGTAACCAACAGCACCTGTGATCTGTACCCCGGCAAGTATACTGGTTGCTTAGCAAAGGGAGGGGCCTGAGCATGAGCTGGATTGAAACCCAGAGTCCTTGTCAGCAGCCATCACTCATCCTACTGGTCCACTCATGATGCATTCCTTCACACAGGGCTGGGGTGTGCCCGACACGATGTGCATTCTTACAGACTCCAGTCCCCAGGGCAGCTCTCATGCCCTTCGGGAGCCTCACGAACACAGGCTGAACTCCTGTTGCCTGAATTATTCCGATTTGCATTCCGATTTTCTGAGGTGCTACCAGAAGCATCCATTTATTGAACTCTCCCTAGAACGCTGCTCTGGTCTCCAGTTCCAGACTCCTCTGTATTCCCCCAAGCAGGCCAGTTCCAATGTGTGGTACAGCCCAAGTCAGGCAGTCACAGCAGGGTCTCCATTCCTGCCTTGGCTTGGTGACCTCTCTGCTGTGACAGAACCTGAGAAAAGCAGCTAGAGGGAGGAAGGACTTACTTTGCCTCACAGTTTCAGAGATACTCATCAATCGTGGCTTGCATGCGTGCGATCAGTACTTATCATTAAGAATGTCCATGGATGCCAGAAAACCCAACACGTCTCTCATTCACAGCCATCTTCTCTATCTGTGGCTCCACCTCACATGAGTGAAATATATATTACAGTATGGATTTTTTAAGTAGATCCTGACTTGAATTAAAACATGGGAGAGGGGCTGGGAAGGTGGCTCAGTGGTAGAGCGCTTGCCTTGCTTGCATGAGGCCCTGGGTTCGATTTCTCAGCACCACATAAGCAAAAAGAAAAAAGCCAGAAATGGCGCTGTGGCTCAAGTGGTAGAGCTCTAGCCTTGAGCTGAAGAGCTGAGGGACAGCGACCAGGCCTCATGACTGGACCCCCCCCCCAAAAAAAATAGGAGAAGATTATGTGATAAAAATGAGAG